GGGGCACGACACTCGGCAAAGGGGGTCTTTGCCGAGTGTCAAAAATAAAGCACTCGGCAAAGAGGGTTTTGAATTTTTAAAAAATCCTCTCTGTCGAAAGTGCCGTGTCGGGGCACTCGGCAAAGTATTTTTAAAAAATAAACTTTGCCGAGTGCGAGATCTAGGACACTCGGCAAAGAAGATTTTTTTAAAAAAAAATCTTCTTTGCCGAGTGCCAGATCAGGTCGCACTCGACAAAGAGACGGTTAAAAAAATTAAAAAAACCTTTGTCGAGTGCCGGATCGGAGCACTCGGCAAATGAGGGAATTTAACACCGCCGGCCAACTTCGCTTGCTCACTCGATCCGCTTTGCTCTGCTCTGCTCTCGGTCTCGGTTCTGCTTCGAGTCGTCGCCGGCGGGAGACGGTGCGATGTCGTCGACCGCGGCCCCGTGGCCTTCATCGGCGCGGACGAGCTCAGCGTCGAGCTCGCCGCCTCCTTCCTCCGCTCCGGCGCCCGCGTCCGCTCGTTCGTCCCCGAGGCCATCTGCGGCGGCTCGCGGAGTTGAATGGCCTCCTCCGGTACGCGAGCCCAGTGGAAGCCGCGCGAGGTGAGCCTGCGCTCTTGGGCTCCAGTACTGGCTCGATTCGATCGGTTGTGCGGGATGCGTGCCTATTTGGGTTGGTGGGTGTGCAACTGTGGAGTACGCTGCTATGCTTCCTGCGTGGCTGCGATGCATTTGTTGGAATGCCGAGGTGATCGGGTCATCGGGCTAAGCTGATCGCGTCTTTCGTTAACTGCAGATGCTGCGCTGGTCGTCGTGCTAAGCGATGCTGGTGGCGTTGACGAGTTGTTCTTCGGAGTTGAGGGTATCGCGAAAGGTATGTGTGCTTGAGTTATTCCGTTGACTGCTTCTGGCCACCTTAACTATCTACTCTACAAGGTACTGTATAACTTATATATAAGGTTTATTTGAGCATTTTAGGATTACGCGCGGGTTCTATTGTATTGATTCGTTCGACATTGCTGCTTAGCCAGTTGGAGAAGCTGGAGCAGAAGCTTACAGGTAAAATACTTTGCATGCCATGCCATTCGCTTCCCAGCCTGGAATGGCTATTGTGCCAAGAGCTCTATGTGCATTTTTTTTTTTGTTATAGACATAGCAAATCAGCACATTTAAACCATCAAATTTTCATGTTTAATTGTTTGAGTTTAAATGTGACTTCATTTTTCGAGTGAGTATATTTGATAATTTGAATGCTACCACTTATATACCCATTGAGATCCACATGGTCATATGGAGGACCTTAGCTTGGTGGTACTTAGCTAACTTAATTTACCATACAGATGAGAAGGATGTCTTCCTTCTGGATGGATACATTTTCAGTGGTTTATCTGATGAACTAAAGCAACAGATTATTGTAAGCAGTACAACATATTGGGAATCTGAGTACCATGCATCTTCATTTTCCCTTTCTCTTATCACTACTTACCTTGTATATGCCAGATTGTTGCATCTGGGAGACAGGACGTATCAGAAAGAGCTAGAAAGTTTTTCCATAGTAAGTCAAAAGATGTGTAAATTTCTTTGCCAATATTTCCATCTTCTTTTATATCTTATGATGTGCTAAGGTGCAATAATGTTGAAATTCTAATTTACCTGGTGATATTTTCAGGCCTATACAATACCGTTTACTTTGCTGAAGGTGAATTTTGCACTAGCAGGTTTGCTCACCCTTTCTGACAATAGTAAATAGTGTTCTATTTCAAGAATACGTAAGGATAATTACATATCATATCATTATAGAAGGACAAACAGTCCAATACTACCCTATAGCCATGCTATGGAAGTTGGAACATCAACAGTAAAAAAAGTATACATACCAATTACTGCAACTATCATACGTCAGTTTAAAATATATATGTTTTTTTATGTCTGCAGCAAACTTAGGGTGGTGAATGATTTGCTGGAGGGCATTCATTTTGTTGCGTCTATTGAAGCAATGTATCTTGGTGTTCGAGCTGGGATTCATCCATCAATTATCTATGACATAATATCGAATGCTGCTGGGAGCTCAAGGTTATGGGAGTTTCTTTATTCTTTTGTGTTCTGTCTAAACAAATAATACATGACATTCTGTTTAATAAAATTTTACTACACTGATTACAGGATATTTGTGGAGTTAGTTCCAAAACTTCTGAGTGGGGATCCTTTGCTTATTGATTTTCTAAACTCAGCAAGGAAAAATGCAGTGAGTTCCTATTCCCTTTTTCTGATGAGAGTTGTATTGTGTTACTGGTTTGCTTGCTTTTTTGTAATTCAAGTCCACACACACATGTACGTTGCTTTGAAGCTAGCAAGGCCGCCACTTCTCTTAGATTTTGTGAAATTAGAGTTAATGGCTCATTATTCCCGTGAAGTTGTGAGATTGTGATTCAAATCTCTTTCTTAGATTTGAACATCTCAAGGACAGGGTTGCAGCATGTAATAGTTGTAGGTCCAGTGGAGTTTTATTGCACGTAACATCACAAAGTCAATTATGTCGCAGTTGGTTGTTTTCATTTGTTCTATGTTATGTGCAGGGGCGGATCCAGGGCCCGGGCTGCCCGGGCTGCAGCCCGGGATGAGTCCATGTAGCCCCTTTAACATATGTGGTATTTAGCCTAAAAAACTATGATCTTAATTAGACAAAAGAAGGCCTAGGAAGCAAGATCAGACTGTTTTGAACGTGAATCAAGCAGCTTAGCCGCGGGCGCAGCCCCGCTCTGAATCCGCCCCTGGTTATGTGTGCATGTTGAAACCTGAAAGTAGTCATCCTATGCGTTGCATCACCTCCATGTGACACGGCCAATGATTTCTACATGTACTATTTGATTTGAAAGCTACCATGTTGTCAACTTGCCGATCCGAAATTTCCTCACTGTTTGAGTGATATAAGGCAGGGACATATGCTTGAGATGCTCAACTTTTTTGTATCTGACATTCTCATATATTTGATGATTTTCAGTTAAATGACCATTGGATCTTTTGTCATAGTTTTTGCCAAATGATATACGTGTTGGAGTCTCATGTACCATTTTAACCTCTACCTGCTTCCAGTCATAGTCACCAACAGTCGTAGTTTCTTGCCAAATGATAGCATCTATATATGCTAAACTTGTTATCTTACCATGTTAATCCTATGACCAAAACTGTTGCTGTTCGACAAATGATAGCATGTATATATTGATGTCTGACAATGATGCAACTTAAACCTGTCTGAAATGAAGCCATTTTCTGCATGTTGCCTCAAAAAGAATTACTTCAGTCCGACTCTAGGATTACGTTAGTCCTTTTAAATTATCTACAAGTAGTCTCTAGATAGAAGTTTATTTGCAATCTATCATGTTTCCTTGCTGGCGAAATTGTTTGTAATACAAGGCGAGAGCTTCTAGATCAGGCAAAACCTAACAGTATTTTGCACTTCATTTTGTTCGGATCTCTTCTTTTTAATTTGTGCCTACAATCTCTATACAGACCAATAATGCACTTCATTTTGCAAAGAATTTTTTTTTAAAAAAAATCAAAACTTTGCCGAGTGCCACCCATGGGGCACTCGGCAAAGAAATTTTTTTAAAAAAAATAAAAAATCTTTGCCGAGTGCCTTCCGGGTTGACACTCGGCAAAGAAATTTTTTAAAAAAAAATGAAAAACGTTTGCCGAGTGCCCGATGGCTAGCACTCGGCAAAGAATTTTTTTTAAAAAAATAAAAACACTTTGCCGAGTGCCTATATGGTTGGCACTCGGCAAAGAAATTTTTTAAAAAAAATTAAAGCTCTTTGCCGAGTGCCTTACGCGTTGGCACTCGGCAAAGAAATTTTTAAAAAAATAAAAAATCTTTGCCGAGTGCCTGACGGGTTGGCACTCGGCAAAGAAAAATTTCAAAAAAAAACTCTTTGCCGAGTGCCTCACGGGTTGGCACTCGGCAAAGAATTTTTTTAAAAAAATAAAAAATCTTTGCCGAGTGCCTCACGGGTTGGCACTCGGCAAAGAAATTTTTAAAAAAAATTAAAAAAATCTTTGCCGAGTGCCTGCAGGGTTGGCACTCGGCAAAGTGACCGTCAACGGAACCGCCGCCGTGACGGTCGCTTTTCTTTGCCGAGTGTCCCCAGGGCACTCAGCAAAACCTTTGCCGAGTGCCCGATAAAAGACACTCGGCAAAGAGGGCTTTGCCGATCAGATTTTTGCCGTGTGGTCTTTGCCGAGTGCCGCACTCGGCAAAGGCTTTGTCGAGTGCAATTTGGCCTTTGCCGAGTGCCTCAGGCACTCGGCAAAGAACCTGAATTCAGTAGTGAATCCTGAGTATAGGTAGTGTATTTTCATAGTATTTCTGGATTTGTTTTTTTAAAAGAAAACATCCATAATGTGTGTGACGTGACGATGACGTCATCAAGCTAACAAGCCCAAAAGTGGGCACGCATGGCCGGGCTGCACTACCGGAAACAGTGACTTTACCGTGTGCCACAGACACTTGGCAAAGACCAAAAAAAACACTCGGCGAATGCTTTGCCGAGTGTAACACTCAGCGAATGCTTTGCCGAGCAAACAGCACACGACATCTACAGTGTCGACAAACAGCTATTTACCCAGTGTTTTTTATCGCGCAAGTGTCAAATTTAACACTCGGCAAAAAAAGTGGTTTACCGAGTGTTTTTCCAAAATACACTCGGCAAAGGATTATTGTTTGTCGAGTGTATTTGGGAATTACACTCGGCAAACCTATTTTCCAAAGAAAAAAATAATTTTTTTCTCAGCATACCATTATTGTTTGCCGAGTGTTTTTGAGAATTACACTCGGCAAACCTATTTTCCAAAGAAAAAAAATAATTTTTTTCTCAGCAAAACCACATGTTTACACACTGATAACTAACTATATCATTCAAATTCACTGTGAACTTCGACTTTGCAGCAGCTAACCAGTGCACAGCCAACAAAACATGCACGGATTCAATCATTCAAGTATTAATCCTCAAAAGCTAAACTAAGCATACATGATGCCAAAAAAAGCACGCACATTGTCAAATAGTTCCGTCTCAAGGCTTTCCATTGCCCATGTTTCACTTTCCATAGTTAATGTTGTTGATTCCCCTGATCTCCTCATTTCCTCCATGATTCCAGGCAGCCTGGAACCCTGGGTCTTACGGAACATGCTGCTAACAATGGCCAATTCCTCAGTATCGAGAACACCTGCAAACATCAGGAAAGATTAAGAGTCACTATCAATCTGCATCATCAAGGTTTACCAGAGCAAGCGACTGCAGCAGTTCCAGAACAGAAGTGTTTCCTCAGTTAAATTCATGGCTTAATATCTACTGCAATTCATTCAATGCACATGACACTTCCTGATAGATTTAAGTTCTCCTGCAAGAGTCTATTTCTTTTCTTGATCCAGGATCAAGGTGCACAGACACATGGATATTAGAGAAACTCATAAGGAGCACTAATAACCTAATTAACCACCATATAATCTAGGTTCATAACCTAAGAACGCTCAATAAAATTCTTTGATTTACTCTAGCAGACATTTTTACTGAGTTGTACCACATTAAAAAAAGTTTCATTTGATCTCAGATGTTAGTAAGTTCTGCATAAGTGACCAGGTGAAAAACCAAGCTTCAAAACATATTCTTGAATCTTGTAACAGTATCCACATAGAAACTCGCAAGAAGAACAGCAAGATTTTCTATTCAGTTTCTCACAACTCATTTGAACAAAAAGCTATCAAACTCATACTTCTCTGGAAAGCCGGGAGATAAAAAAAATCGCATGTGAACTACGTATTGACACCAAATCTGTTGTAGGATATGCATTAAACAGGGCATATAGTAATTAAATGCTCACAGTTCTGCAGTAGTTGCCTGTATCCAGCATGTGTTTGAGAAAAATGCTCAGAAAAGTAAAGATAATAAATGAACTAATGGTACTCAGAGATGGTTTCATTTTTACAAGAAAAAACCAAGTGCCCATGAAATTTCTTACTTTAGAAGTGAAATTAAAAATGCATAGGCTCAATTTATTTTGCAAGCAGGTCATACGCATATTCATTGAGATGCAGTTTGAGGCTAGGTTTGCTGCCCGCTGGTAGTTGGTACTGTCTGTAGAAGCTTGTGTTATTTAATGAAAAATGTTGACACGCAGGTAAAATCAATGGATAAATCTTATGCATATTTCTTGGTGCTGATTGGTGAATCCATAATTAATCTACTTCCTTCAGGTTGTTCTTTTCCAAGCGCTCTTAAGAAGTGCCCAAGGTGAAAAAGCATATCGCAGATTATGGGAGGCATACCGGAGAAATGCATCAACTGCAGACTTCCTGGAAGCCCATATTTAGTTAATAGTATAGGGCAGGTCATCTAGAAATAGAAAAGTATTTTATAAACAAAGGCACAACCGCACAACAACATACCAATCCATGTAACATGCATACTTCATTTCGTTTGTAAAAGGAGGCTGCATCTACCTCAACAGTTGTGTGGAGTGTGGACACAACATGGCATGTTCCTGTATCTTGTATTTTTACTATTTTGGACAACAACTACACATTTTTAGTTCTACAGGAAAGGTAGAAGCCTACATTAGTTTCATAATGAAACATTGCAACTTGTTTTTATTCGGTGTAATTCAGCTCACTTTGTTATTTTATTAATCTTTCCACTTCTTATTCGTGTATTTCAGGGAGCCAAGAGAATTAAGTAACATATATTAAACATCAGTACAAGTTAATAATGCAGGAAATGAAACCCATTCTAAGTGAGTTAAGAACCAGGCAGAAGTAGCAGCAAAAAGACAAGGATAGAATTTAACAGGCACGAATCTATAACTAGAGACAATAATTTCACAAAATAGATAGAATTTGGATCACGATTCATGAATTTGAAGCAAACCTTCACGGGTAAAAAAGGCGTTGTCCCAAGCCAAGCTCTTGCGGAGGTTTACCCCCTTCTTGGCCTTCCGCTGCTCCGGGAACTCCGTCCGCTCAGGGGGCGCCTTCTCCACCATCACACCGTCCGGATCCGAAGCCCGGCCCGCCGTAGACGGAGAACCAACAAAGGAGGTCGCCTCGGCACCCACCAGAGACCCTAAAGGAAAATCGTCTCCCGTCAGATCCACGAATCGCAATCGAAACAGAAGGCACCAATCCCGCGGTTCCTCCCAAGGAAATCCTCCTCAAATGGGGGCGGAACACCTCACCTACGTGGGGCGGATCGGGACGCGACCAGGGCAGTGGCGAGGTCGTGAGGAGATCGTCCTCGGCGGAGACGTCGATGAGGAGAGCCTCCATCTTCAAGGGCCCGAGCTGTGGCCGATCGGAATCTCAGGTGGGGAACCCTAGATCGCCCGCCGGTGGGGATCAAGAGGAGGCGGCGAGGTGAGACGAGCTGGAGCCTAGAGAGAGAGACGTTGAGATGGGCGCCAAGGCCGGAGAGGGAGGAGGGAGGGAGGGGAGGGGGGCGCCGGAGAGGGAGGGAGGGGCGGCGGGCGCCGGAAAGGGAGGAGGGAGGGAGGGAGGGGCGCGGCGGGGAAGGAGGGGTGGCGCCATGGGGAGGGGGGGGCGCGGAGGCAGCTCGGAGAGGGAGCGGCGGGCAGGGTGAGGGGAGCGGGGAGTGGGGGCAGGGAAGGGGGGTGGTGCGTGCGTGTTAAGTGTGCGGTGGGCGGGGGCTTCGCCGAGTGTTCTGAATCTGGTACTCGGCAAAGCAGTATTTGCCGAGTATTCTGGATCTGACATTCGGCAAAGGATTTTTTTTATTTTTTATTTATTTTTCTTTTTTCATGGAGGGACACGTGGCGCGATGTTTATCGAGTGCCGTAATTTACCGAGTGTTTTTCCCATATTTGCCGAGTGCCAGAGTTTGCCGAGTGTTTTTCAATATAATTGCCGAGTGTAAGAATGTTTGCCGAGTGTTTTCTAGTAAGACACTCGGCAAACAGAGAGTTTGCCGAGTGTTAGAATCTTTGCCGAGTGTTTTTAGTTTGGCACTCGGCAAATAGATGGTTTGCTGAGTGTCCGATAAAATACACTCGGCAAAGAATATGACCTCGGCAAAGCCTTCGATTCTGGTAGTGCTGCTCTGCTAGCTCCGCTCGCTCGCGCAATGTCGCGCGGTTGCGCTCGTGCGTGAGCGCCGGTAGGTGGAATGCAGGGGCTGTCGTGATCATTCAGCAGACTTTGGGTCCTCGTGCAGGTGGCGGCACCATGTATGGGTGCTCAGCTCCTCTCCAGAGTTCAGCAAAAACAATATAGAAGCCTCGGATTTCTACGGGAAGAGCACTAGATGATAGATAGGAGGACGGCGATCTCACCACGACACTTTGCACGGACGGACATGGAGCGGAGGCGACACAGGGCTCCACGGGGCGGCTCAAGCTTCATCTGCAACACCGACGGCATCGTGTGAGCAACAGAGAGCGGGAGGTAGAAGGAGATGGCACCAACGGGTTACGGCTTCGTCACATGGATGTGAGGCTCGGCAACAGGTCTCGAACGGCGGAGAGGCTCCCTACGACGGCCATGGCGGTGGCGGGCGATCTTCCACTCTCGGCGAGATCCAACAGCGAGCGCAGCAGCTTGCAATAGGGCACGGTAGGAGGCAGCGGACACAGGGCTTAGCTTTATTGGAGTGGAAGCAGCATGGAGCACACGGCAATGACGTGGGGCAGCCTCAGACTCTCAGCGGCGGCGGCGAAGTCCTAACGGGACATGTCCGGAGGTAGGAGATGACAACGGCCAGTATAGAGAAGACAGAGAAATCACGGATATGCTCACCACGTCATAATACGAACAGCTGTGTCGTGGAGATGAAAGTGTCGGCGTGAGCTTCATGTGCTCTTGATCGATCAGTAGCATGAAGCGGCGTGGAGCGCACGCCAAACGCGGCGTAGCGGAGGCGGACACGGCGGTGATGGAAGAATCCGCGTCGCTCACAGTTGGAGGTGGGAGATTGTTCTGACCGGTGGGGCACGGCATCAACGGGTGAAATGGCGGGTCCCGGACGTCAGACAGAGAGAGAACGAGGAGCGCGCGCCTGCGCGGCTTTGCTGGGGCTTCGACATGGGCTTCGCGAGTGGAGGTGGGAGCGGGCCAAAGGTGGGGTAGCCTTCTGCTCGGCCTGCAGGACAGAGGAAGCGGGCCATGAAGGGAAAAGAGACGGGAGCAGGCCGGCTGGCTGGTTGGGTTGCAGCCCGAGAGAGAGAGGGAAGGAGTAAAATTCTGTTTCTTTTATTTCAAAACCTATTTCAAATATGAACCGAACCAAATTTAAATAGAGTTTCAAATACACTTTTCAACTTTATTAAAAATAATAAATTTTACAACCTTTTTAAATTCTTTTATTTTCTAATTCTCTTTTCTTTCTTTTCTTTTACTTCAAAGCCATTTTTAATTTCATTTGCAAAAGCAATTTAAACCATTTTAATTTTTCATTCAAAACCACTCAACCAAATAAATCATATGTAAGGGCATGTATGTTCAAACATGTTACTACCTTATGATGAATTTTAATTTAATGAAAAAATTTTATTTTCCTATATTTCATGAGCACAAAATTCAGAAATAAATCATTTTAAACCTATTTTCAAAAGAGGCAAATTTTGGGGTGTTACAATTCTATCCCCTTAAGATGAATCTCGTCCCCGAGATTTGGAAGACGTCGACTAAGAAATAGAGATACTCTGTCTTTATTCGATCCTCATTTTTCCAAGTTATATCTTTCATTAAGAGCCATTCTAAGATCCTAGTTGGATAATTTGAATAAGCATGATCGTCTCTCGTATTGAGATCCTCCAATGGTGTTTGCTCCTTCACACTAACATATGAAAACTCATAGTCCACATTACTATCCTCATAGGATGCACCTTCTAATAGGTCATCCTCGTATTCCTCAGGTGTAGGTTGAATACCCTCATACTCAATTCTTTCTCCTGATGGTGTGGTTAGAAGCACCGAACGCTGGGCATACTTAATCACTCCTTTACAAGCAGATAGCCATCCATTTCCAAGGATAACATCAATGTCCATTAACTCCAAGACTATAAGGTTTGCCTCGAAGTTCTTCCCTTTTATGTTAAGACTAACTTTTAGGCATAAGCGGTTTGCCTTCTTTTCTCCTCCTAGAGAGTTAACTATTAGGGGTTTCCTCATCGGAAGCATAGTTATCTTATGTTCTTCCACATATTCCCTAGAGATGAATGAATGTGACACACTAGGTCAAATAACACCATAGCAGTGTCTTAGCTTACTGCAATCAAACCATAAACAACCTCCTTAGCTCCATGAGTGGTAATCAGACCCACATTGTTCAACCAGCCTTGAATGTAGTTTTGCTTTAACTTATTGCCTTGCACCTGCTCCTTATGGACGTTCTGTTCTAACTCTTGCTGCTGTTGATTCTGGCTTCGATTACTCTCAGCAAACTTCTCAAAATAATTGTTCTAATAGTGTTCAATCTCACCACAATCATGACCTTCCTTACTAGTAGAAATATTTGTCATTATCAAGGTGATAGTGGGAGATGACAGACATGGCTCTTGAGAACTAAAATGTTGCACTTCATTATTAGGTTGATGATACTGATCTTGATCATTACTTACAAGCAGATTCATAGGGTGTGACTGACATTCTGGTTGTGCAGCAAAACGAAGACGAGTATTCCTCAACTGGTGTTGAAGGTCATGTTTTCTCTTCTTCTCTTCCATCTCTCGACACTTGTTCTCAATTATAATTTCTCTGTCCACTAATGTTTGATAGTCGGCATACACCACGGTCATCAGCTATAGTTGCAAACCATCATTCAGTCCTTTCAAAAAACATTTTTGCTTTTTAGCATCACTATCTACGTCTTTTGGAGCATAGCATGACAATTGAGTGAACCAGTTATGATACTCACATACTAACATAGATCCTTGCTTCAAGTTGAGGAACTCTTCTTGCTTAAGTTCTACCTCACCTAACGGGACATGGTAGGACCTAAAATTCTCCTTGAATTCCTGCCAGGTGATAGCAGGAGCATTGTTGGGACGCCCATATTCAAATAACTCCCACCAATCTTGGACAGTTCCTTGCAGTTGACCGGAAGCATAAAGCACCTTTTCATGGTCGTCACACTGAGCTATGTCCAATTGTCGCTCCACAGCTCTAAGCCAATCATCAGCTTCTAGTGGTTTGCTTATACAAGAGAATGTCGGTGGGTGTCCATTCATAAATTCACTACGCTTGTCAATAGGTGGTGCTTAATGCGGGTTGTTCAACACACTTTGGGCAATATCCTGTAATAACTGAGTCTGCATCATCAAAGCTTGCTCTATAGATGGGAAATTGGATGGTGGTGGATTAGAATTGGCAGGATTCCTTCCAACACCTTGTGAAGCACTTCTCCTGGTAGCAACCATCTGTTTTCAACATGTATGAATTAGAACTCAGTCGTTCATAACATCCTTAATTGTAGCTTCAAGAGATGACAAGATAGGATTGATGGCAATTGAGACAAGAGGACATCAAATCCCAGATATAACTAGTACTTCCAAACGAAGCGCTAGAATGTAAGAAACTTCATCTTTCAAATCCTTCAACTTAGCTACCCCCTTAAGAAAAGATCAACTAGGGACATAAAAAGGGTAGCTTGCACCTTCTTCCAGATGAGCTAACTAGTATCAAGATGTTCTGACATCCCAATGATACTCTTATGTATGAGCAAGAACAAGAAATCTGAAATTTCTCGCGAGCAGGAAAATAATAGCACAGTAAAATAGCTATAACTCTCATTCTGTTAATCCAATAAAGTTGTAGCTTATACCGTTGGAAAGCTTATAAAATTCTCCACAACTTCCTTATATAACACTTTTCCAAATTCTGCAGTTTAGATGGTCGAAAATAGTGCACAACAGAAACTACTCTAGATTCCAAACAGCACAGATGCATCGTCTTGTGATTTTTGTAACTCCATAACAAAAACAGATATGAGGGCGGTTCTTGTGGTCGGAGAAAGATATTGAAGTCTACTATTGTCCAGAATTTTTCTCATGATTCTTGATCATCCAAAATTAGATATATAAGCCGATAAAGACAGGTTGCTCTAAAAGGCAAAATAGGGAAAACAGGAGATAAGTGAAACCCATCTATTTATTGCATTAATCCTTATGCCTTAGGCCTATGAACTAAATGAAATTGTGGAAACACCCAAAAAGATCATTGAAATCATTACAAAGACGCAAAACAATCATAAGCATAATGACAAATCAACAAAGCAACAAAGGTGCACAACTCACTCATTGACTCAACTTGCGATA